GAGGCCCTGGGGCTGCAGGTGGCCAAGGGCTGTGGGTACCTCTACCTTCAGAAGGTTGGTTAGTTATTTTTAGTCTTTTTACCAGCTAAGGCAGCTGAACATCTTTCCAAAATAGCTCCCCAGGCTTTGTCATGTGAGAACAAGCCAGAGCATTCAGTCTGTCAGTACTCGGTGCCCGCTGGGTGCCAGGGGCTGGTTCCTAATGCTGGGGATACCACAGGGAGCAAAAAACAAACCCCTGCCCTCCTGGAGCCCACATTCTTGTGGGGGAGACAGTCTGCAGTAGGTCTGAAGGTAGGTGTGTGCCACCGACAGGCAGAGAACGGCACGAGCAAAGGCCCTGGGGCAGGGGAGTGCCTGCTGTGGTCTGGGAGCAGCAAGGTGGACAGGGAAGAAATGAGCACAGTCAGGGAATGCCAGGCCTTGTCCACCTTGGAAGGGGCTTTTAATAATTATGGCTACCCTCAGGACTTCCCTGGTGGCGCAGTGGTTAAGAATCCGCCTGCCAATGCAGGGGACACGGGTTCGAGCCCTGGTCCGGGAAGATCCCACATGCCGCGGAGCAACTGAGCCCGTGCGCCACAACTACTGAGCCTGCGCTCTAGAGCCCGCCAGCCACAACTACTGAAGCCCACGTGCCTAGAGCCCGTGCTCCGCAACAAGAGAAGCCACCGCAGTGAGAAGCCCGCGCACCACAATGAAGAGTAGCCCCCGCTCGCTGCAACTAGAGAAAGCCCGCGCGCAGCAACAAAGACCCAACGCAGCCAAAAATAAAATAAATAAATACATAAAATTAAAAAAAAAGGTAATTATTAATTGTCTACCCATCTCAGGAGCCTAGGTCCTGGGTTCTTTATATATGTTCTCTAATTCTTATAAGTGCATTGAAAGATAAGACTAATTATTCCCTTTTATAAGTGAAGAATCAGGGGATTGAACAGTCTAAATGTCCTGACCAGGAAAGTACAGAGTAAATGCAGAACAGGAGTCCATCTCTGGGTGCAGGGAAACTCAGTCCGAGTCCTTTTGCAAAGAGTGCAGGGCAGGGACAGCAGGTACCGGAGGCCCCTTTTCCTCCTCGCCCCAAGTCTGACTCCCACACTCCCCGGGATCACAAAGCATGGGTGCAGTAGGGTGTCTCTGGAGGCCCCTGGACAGCCCCCCAGAGGCCCTGTGCCTTTGGGAAGATTTGAGCTCCTACAAAGTGATTCAGAAGTTTGGGTGAGTCTGACTTTGAGGGTTCTCGGAGATGGTTCGTATCCTTTTCCTATAGGTATACCATTTACCGGACGTTTTCTGACATAGACAGTCACCCGTGTGTGTGGTAGGACGTTTAGCAAAGGGTCTGCGGTGGTGTCTCGCCACACCCCCTGAGCAGCTCTGAGAGCCCATGAGACCGAGGCTGAAGTGCCCAGCGCCCGGCCTCGCGCAGAGCCAGTGTTTAGTCCATGGCAAGCGGGCTGTTTTTTTTTTTTTTTTTTTTTTTTTTTTGCGGTACGCGGGCCTCTCGCTGTTGTGGCCTCTCCCGCTGCGGAGCACAGGCTCCGGA